TATATATATATGTATTATTAACTGTACATAGATGGGAGTCCATAACGCACGTTTCACACTATCACGATCTTCAGATAGACTTATTGTTAGCACATACTACTCTCCTACCAAAGGTGTTTTGCATATTAGCCGCGATCATGTGGAAATATTGTATGCCTACATTTAGATACCAGTTCTGACCTTTTATTAAGGTCATGTCAAGGATATTGCTCTTGTATAGTAGAGAAGTAATTCATTGCATGGGTTACATTGTTCTACAGTTGTTAAAGTTGGTTTAAAAAAATAAAAATAAAAAGGGTTAACGAGAGAAATGGGATATACTCATTTGTGGGGGAGTGTAGAAACGGTTATAGCTGTCAGAAGCACGCTAATGATCGTGTTGCTATGAGGATTGTGTATGTGTAGAACAGGAGCAAACGGTACAGTATTCCCCGTTTCTAAAGTTATTGATTAGAATCCTAAACAACGGATAAATGTAAGTTTATAAGAGTAATTTGTATAGCAGAGATAATCATCTGTTTAGAATATCAAGAGTTGGGAGTATCTCTCCATTTTGCTAGGCCTAGACCTAGCTGGTATTACTGTCATTACACGGCGAGGCCGATATACGTTTTGTGTAGGTATTACTAGATATAAGCTTGATGCTTGATTTAGCTGTAGATTTGTTGTATATACGTCGAAATTCGACGACTATTAAATAGTCTTCCATCTAAATTGGTTATAAAATAAATATGTTACCTAATTTCCAATCAGACATGCCTATTTAGCACTAATATCATTACTTTTAATAGATTAGTAGCTTGAACCGATGAAAAGTGAATGCATCGAATTAGAAACAAGTCATTAAAAAATCATAAAATCCCCTACTATAGAAGAGGAATAAAAACCGCCAAGGTTGGGAAGTAATCACAAGCTGGCATTTTAAGGCGTCTACCTAACGATCTTCAAAGAATTTCATTTTCATTTTTTCAAATTAATTTAAATTATTGGGAATGAAAACCAACCTAACCTTTACTGAAAATCTATCTTTATAAAAATTGTTTACAATTGCTCGAGAAACAACTAAAGATAATTCCTTCTTAATCTAGTGACAAATGTTAAATATGATAAATGTAGGCGTGTAATCGATCGGCAAGAACTGAGTGGGTATATTAAAAAAAGGTTAAGTTTACCAACCTCTAAAAACATCCGAAAAGCAGTATTTAGCATACCTGAACAAGTTGGTTCAATGCCTGTCCATGAGCCATCAGCACCACACGTTCGCCAGTTGTTTCCACTGCTGATACTATAACCGGGTAGACAACTGTATGTTACAATAGCGCCGTACGTTGTTTCACTAACATCTACGGTAACGTTGAGAGGATTTCCTGGATGCATACAATCGACAACTAATACAATAGAAACATTTAATTAGAAACGACTAGATAAATCGTATGTCTCCAGTTGGCAAATCTACACGGTAGGCTTTTAACAAGCCTGGCTGGGACAATCGAAAAGAAGCGGCCAGTAGAGACATGAAGATCTTGACAGAAGTTCGGTTCAAGTCTACACCTATTAGTAAAATTATTCTAAAATGACAGTCATTTACAAAATAATATTCTGAATAAAATTAATAAAATTAAAATACATTCCTACTCATAACTGTAACCCAAATTAATTGTTTTTAAAGATATTTGCTCTCTGCAATATTGTGTGTTGTTTGCCTAATAAAATTAAGCCTAGACAGCTTCCAAAAGCCACTTTGTATGTATTTCAGTGTAATTAGATAAATTGCGCAAGTTTCAATTATATGCGTGCATTTAAATCCATATTATTGTTGTTTATCATTATATTATTACCATGAAAAAAGAAAATTTTGAAAATGTTGGCATGTTATTGTGAATTCTAATCAGAACTTTCTCAAAATGTAACACTAAATTACAGTTACGTAACTTACTTTGACATGTTGGTGTGCTATTTGACCATGTTCCATTTGACTGACATGTGACCATGGCAGTACCAATAAGGTTGTATCCATTGTCACATACGTAAGTTACAGTGCTTCCATAAGTTTCGTCACTACCATTTTTTCCTCCATTGGTCGGTGTGCCTGGATCCCCGCAATTAATAACTAAAAAAAAAACAATCTTATGAATTTTGCTAAAGATCATAAATTTCAAAATATTATACAAATTTTAATACACTATTATTGACAAGTATGATATCATAATTGCTACAATTAGTTACTTAGTTATATACAGAATCAAATATCAAAAGAAATCACTAACCTTGGCAAACAGGGGCGCTCTGTGACCATGTGCCATCAGATTGGCATGTGACACTTGCAGCACCCACCAGGTTATATCCAGTGTTACAGACGTAGGTTACTGTGCTTCCGTAAGTTTCGTTAGCACCCATCCTTATTCCATTGATTATTGAACCAGGATCGCCACAGCTGACAACTGTAATGAATACGTTCAGGTATAAAATGTTATCACAAAACATGATTAAAAAAACACTAACATCAGAAAAACAATACTTTCTATTTTCTCTAAAAATTATACTAAAAAATACAGTTTCATTGACAAATTTTGCTTTCAGGTAACCCTTTTTCTGCTGTTTTAATTATTATTGAGCATTTCTTATGGATATGAGAGCTATATAATTCTTATTTATTATTATTATATACCTTCACAAGTGGGAGGTGACCCCGACCAAAGTCCAGTTGCTTCACAAGTTCTGATCATCACTCCATTTATATTATAGCCGATGTTACACGTATAGGTAGTATTCATGCCGAAGGTTGTACCAGTATAGGAAGTCATCCCATTCTCGATGTTGTCCAAGTTACCACAGTCATTAGCTAAAACAAAAATATGTGTCAGTATGGCAGATACGACCAGTTGATGACAGCTTGGGACCAACTAATACGTAATAGGTGATCAGAATTTATTAATTTATATTATTACGTACATTAAGTCAATATAATATTATTACCTAACTGACTTCTTACTCAGGCAAGCGTTAGCAAAATTTTTAACTATGTATACAGCTGGAAGACTTACGACTGCACGATGGTAATGTTCCCGACCAAGTCTTATCTGGTTGACACGTCCTGAATGTAGACCCAACAATAGTGTATCCAGGTTGACATATGTAGCTAACACTGTATGGGTAGAAAAACTTTTCACCAATGAGTTCACCCTGATTTGGAGTTCCAGGATTTCCACATGAAACACCTGAAAATATAAAAATTTAAAGTAACAGATAACCACTATTTTTAAATTAAAAAAAGTTTTTATATTAATAATTTGATTAACAAGAGAATAGTAATTACCTTCACATACTGGCAAGTTTGCTGCCCAAATTTGATCCCCTCTACATTCTGCATCACCAACTGAAAAACCAGAAACTGGCTCATAACCTACACTACATATGTAAGTTATGATATCTCCAACAATGAAATATCCTTGGTATTGAACCTTTCGGTTAAATTCAGTAATGCTATCGTGGTTTAACTCTACACATTCTCTTATGCATCTGGGCTGTACATTTTTAGGCACTTTCAGGGGATGAAAAGGGCATTTATAAAGGGGTGGGGAAGATTTTTCAAAGATAGATATTTTCCCCTAGTCCCTAGTGGTTAGCCAATGGGCAGCATAGATCAAAGTAGTTATGACAGTTATTTGAAGTGGAGAAGGGGTTGCAGGGTGTTTTGAGTCTGGTCATTATGATATCTTCCTTCTTGTCTTTCTTTTTCTCTTCTCTTTTTCTTTCCTTTTTTATTCTTCTTTCTCTTTCCCTCCCTCTCCCCTCTTCCTTTTCTCTTATTACCCAGCCCGGTGCAACGGCTTGGTCAGCTCGGTAAAAACCGTCAGGGGAGGGGCAGTTTTCCCCCTCCCCTGCGCCTGTTACGACACTGGCTAACACGCCAATCATCCCCCCCCCCCCCCAATGAAAAAACTTTTCTACGCCACTGTTTACTACCAGCTAAATCATTGCCCAATAATAGGGACACACCTCCGACAGGCAGGGAAGGCATTACACCAACCAAAACTGACCCCGTTACCAAAGCAGACTGTAAATTAATTCTGTGGAGTGGGACACTAGTAGAGCCAAATTCTACTCCACTTATAAGGACATTGGCTCCTGTGGACGACTTCTCAGAGAGTGGAAGAATACCAGCTAATAATAGGCTCTGGGATGCACCGGTATCGCGTAGAATTTTTACAGGCTGTAAACATGTATCATCTAGCGAAATATACCCATCAGTAACAAAAGGTTGATAATGGTCATCAATAACGTCCTTAGAGGTAGCATCAATATGCCTTTCATCATACAATATAGAATTAGGTGGTTTACAATGTTGCAAAGAATCGGTTGCTACTAGGCAAGTTGGTGAAGCAACAGCAGTTTTGTTTAATTTAATTTTTCTTTAATTTATAGCAATCTGAAATGGTATGACCTGATTTCTTACAATATGAACATGACAATTTTGACCTACCGAACCTCGACTTCCTACTATCAGATTGCGTATTGTGGAAGTTACGTGTAGATGGATGAACATAGGAACTTTCCTTATGATGTTCTTTTGGTTGAGCTGAATCACGTGATTGAACATGATCAGACTTACTTAACTCATGCTTATGAACAAGAAAATATTCATCGGCCAATTTTGCAACCTCGTATACATCTTTAACCTTATGTTCATCCAGACAGGTTCGTACAACATTAGGTACACAACATTTAAATTCTTGTTTAAGAGCATTATAGTTAGACTTAGTGTCCTCTGAACTACACCACCTATCAAACAAAATTTCTTTTTCACGTGAGAATTCCACATAGGTTTCCTTATCCAACTTCTTATACTCTCGAAACTTTTGTCGGTATGCTTCGGGTACAAGCTCGTAACCTTTCAGTATCAAAGCTTTAACCTACTTATAATCAGCACTATCATTGACTGAAAGCGTAGAAAATATTTCCTGTGCTTTCCCTTTCAACACACTTTGTAGCAAAATTGACCACTGTTGAGTTGGTCAATTTAGGTTTTCAGCTACTTTTTCAAACTGTTGGAAATATTTATCGACATCCTTCTCCTGAAACGGTGGAACCAAACGAATAACTCGGCTGGGTTCAAACTGAATGTGCGTGACGGACGTCGATATGCTCTGTAATTCCAACTCCTTCATTTGTACTGCAGCTTTCAATTTATCACGTTCAAGTTTTCTTCGTTCTTGCTCCAGCTTAAGTTGAAGTTCCAATTTTCTTATTTCAGGAGATACGACTGGGAGTACCTCAGGTAAGTATGTCATAAATATATCTGGAAGCACACTTTCATCCACTAAATGCTCAACAACAAGCCTTTTAATCTCGGCTTTCCTCACCGCCGATCGTACTTCAAAATTATAGTGCTGTGCTACTTCAAAAAGATTACTCTTAGTAAGCTTATTCAACAAATCCTCAGACGGCTCTTCCTCCAACAGTTTTAAAATCTCCTGCACCTCCATCATGTAGTAAAACAACGAGTCACAATCAAGATTGCAGTCTCAAGCACGAAGCAGTTATGCAGTAACTTGAGGCCGGACGAGCCCCCACTCATGTTACGGTCACGAACACAAACAAACTGGAGCCTTGGCTAATTGCAAACAGAAATCGGTTTATTTCCAGTAAACAACTTCACTACACCATGCACCGGTCAACAAATACACATAGACCATGCAATTGCCCACCTTCTGATAGCACATGAGCAACAAAAACCACTAAAACTGCATGCTACTTGTTTTTTACACTTGGACATCACGTCCATTCCACCTTACACTGTATCCTCATTAGCATATCACCGTACCAACCGCTCCAACTCACTACTGTTTATTACATTCATGCTCATTTACATATCTGTCTCTTATACACATCTAGATGTGTATAAGAGACAGATCATTGCCCAATAATAGGGACACATTTAAGTGTTGTTCCGTTTTTTAGATGAAACAACAAACACATAATAGCCTGCAACGGAAACTATTCCTATCCTTCTAGTTCATGTATTCTAAAGATTGTATATTCTCTTTCGCATACCAAGTCATTTCCAGACCAGTTGCCGTCAGACTGACATGTCCTAGTGGTATCGCCTGATAGTTTATTGTATCCTCTGTCACATATGAACATTAGGACAGTATTGTAAGTGAAAATACCGCCATTTACGAATACCCCTTCTCCTACAGAAACTATCCCACAATTAACAACTGAAAAAAGACATTCAAAGACCATAAATTTCAAAATATTATACAATTTTAATACACTATTATTGACAAGTATGATATTATGATTGCTACAATTAGTTACTTAGTTATATACAATATCAAAAATCAAAAGAAATCACTAACCTTGGCAAACAGGGGCGCTCTGTGACCATGTGCCATCAGATTGGCATATGACACTTGCAGCACCCACCAGGTTATATCCAGTGTTACAGACGTAGGTTACTGTGCTTCCGTAAGTTTCGTTAGCACCCATCCTTATTCCATTTAGTATTAAACCAGGATCGCCACAGCTGACAACTGTAATGAATACGTTCAGGTATAAAATGTTATCACAAAACATGATTAAAGAAAACACTAACATCAGAAAAACAATACTTTCTATTTTCTCTAAAAATTACACTAAAAAATACAGTTTCATTGACCAATTTTGCTTTCAGGTAACCCTTTTTTCTGCTGTTTTAATTATTATTGAGAATTTTTTATGGATATGAGAGATATATAATTCTTATTTATTATTATTCTATACCTTCACAAGTGGGAGGTGACCCAGACCAAAGTCCAGTTGCTTCACAAATTCTGATCATCTCTCCATTTATATTATAGCCGATGTCACACGTATAAGTAGCATTCATGCCGAATGTTGTACCAGTATAGAAAGTCATCCCATTTTCGATGTTGTCCAAGTTACTACAGTCATTAGCTAAAACAAAAATATGTGTCAGTATGACAGCTATGGACCTACTAATATGTAATAGGTGATAAGAATTTATTAATTTATATTATTACGTACATTAAGCCAATATAATATTATTACCTAACTGACTTCTTACACAGGCAAGCGCTAGCAAAATGTTTAACTATGTATACAGCTGGAGGACTTACGATTGCACGATGGTAATGTTCCCGACCAAGCCTTATCTGATTGACACGTCCTGGCTGTAGACCCGGAAATAATGTATCCAGGTTGACATATGTAGCTAACACTGTATGGGTAGAAAAACTTTTCACCAATGAGTTCACCCTGATTTGGAGTTCCAGGATTTCCACATGAAACACCTGAAAATATAAAAATTTAAAGTAACAGATAACCACTATTTTTAAATTAAAAAAAGTTTTTATATTAATATTTGATTAAACAAGATTATAGTAATTACCTTCACATACTGGCAAGTTTGTTGTCCAAATTCGATCCTCTCCACATTGTACATCACCAACTGAAACACCAGAAACTGGCTCATAACCTACATTACATTTGTAAGTTATGGTATCTCCAACAATGAAAAATCCTTTGTATTGAACCGTTCGGTTAACTTCAGTAAAGCTATCGGTGTTTAGCTCTGCACATTCTCTTATGCATCTGGGCTGTACATCTTTAGACACATGACTGAATTCGCCTGAGTACCAACAGTATGAGTTAGTAGGTCCCACTTGGTAGAATCCGTCATTGCATGTAAACTGTACAGTTGTTCCAGAAGCATATATGTCTTGTTTCGGAGTAACGGTACCATTACTGAAGTCAATTGATGTTGAACAGTTCATGAAGTCGTCATCTAAATAAAAGGAAAGTTAAAAAGACTATGTTATGCTCAATAAATATGTAATGGAAGTCGGTCATTGTTTTTTTTTAAATTTATAATGATACCACTGAAAAAAATAGATTACTCAAAAGTGATTTCTTTAGCTAATGATCGGAATGTTTCTGATTTTTTTCTCCGCCGTTTTCGTAATATAATAAAAATACTGTTTATAAAAACTTTAAACAACTTTAAACTTTCTGATCAGTGTCATTACATTTCTCGTATTTAGCCATGTTCATATGATAATGATGTCAGGACAAATGCCCGAAATAATTCAATATGAAGATGTCATTGTTTTCAAATCGAATTCCTTTAAAAGTGGATTATATAGCCTCTCTATCGATTGGCGTTCATGAAATTGTCTTTAAAACCAAGAGATCTATTTATCCTTTAATGTTTAACACTAATGAAAATTAGTACGGCTATTTCACATACAGTAATAACACATTTTACAAAAGCTGGTGGTTAAAGGTGATATTAGAGGCATTCTACGACCAATTTTGATTACCATTTTACAGACCTAACTTTGCCTAGGACTACTTACTTTTGTAAATAATTATTCGCAATTCTCCGCCACAAATCTGACTTGAATCGCCTGAGCAAGGTTCAGTACAATTATCGTTATTTGGTGGTTTACCATTCGGTGGATTTAATGGATCGAAGTTATTTCCACAAAAACATTGATTTCCCGCCTCTAACCCTGAGTAGAGAAAGCCTCGTCTGTGGCATAAATCTGTACAAAAGGAAACAGTCATACTTTGCGTGTATTCGCAGTATGGATGTTCCGATGTACATTCATTGCACATGTCTTCAGCCTCTGGTGAATTACAGGCGTTCAAGCCAGGAAGCGTTCGATCTTCTAAGTAATCAAAAAAGCATCCTAAATATTGAAAGCCTAAAATAAAAATTAAATAAAAAATAGTAAATATAGTAATTATAGTAGGTAAATATAAAATAATAATAATTAAAAACACAATATATTTCATTCAAATGGAGACAAAACCAACATAATGAAGCTATATCAGAATAATATAAACAGCATGCACAGGTTTATTGGTTTATAGGCCGAATAAACCTAATGCATTGTGCGAAGCATTAATAACCACAATCGTGTTAGTTGAGCTAATTCCTCTTCAAGCAGATTATGCATATTAAAGTTACAAAAGAAATTCATATGTAAAATATCCGAAAGTTATGCTTGAATTTATTCAGCCCAGAAGACAAAATTCGTCAACACAAAGCTGTGATTGCTTTTATAACGAGTGTGCATTAATGTTGACATACATATATTTATATAGTGTGTTGTTTTAATGTACGTATTGGATGTGTAACTTAGTAGACGATACCCTTTTCCAGACTCGGAGTAATGGGGTTTAAATATATTTTTCAATTGGAAAGCTGGAGGAGCCACTTATCCTATGTTATTTTTTCTCTCATAAAATCAGAATATTTGTTGGGGTTGGGGGGGGGGTTGTTATAACGAATTAGGCCTAAGCACTTTAGTATTAACAGTATGTATTTATGACCGATTGTGTGTTTGGGGTATGGATGCATGTTAATCTAAGATATTGTACTTTACTATTGGTATTTTTACTATAGGTTGCGTATTGATATAGTAATAATGTAATTTATAACTAATGATCTAAAATGAAAAACTATAAATTCAGCCAAGTGTTTCTCCATACGAAATGTATGTATTAAGTTTGTCGTATTTACGGTAGATTGGGGCGAGTTCATTCACTATCGTACTGTTATAGTCGAGGCAAGACAAATTGTATTTGAGCCTAACAATCTCAATATACTATTTAAAATAATTAACAAGGATAAAAACAGCCATATATATATATATATTATATAATATATATATTATACAATATAATATATGTATATATAATATTATATATAATATATAATATTATATATATCGAATATATAATATAATATTATATATATGTATTATATAATATTATATATATATATATATATATATATATATATAGGCCTATGTATTAGAATACGCCGCAGTATGGTATGAATGTACAGATAAAAAGTGCCATTTGAATAATCAATAGTATTATTTAGACATAGCCTCTGTGCATTAGATGTTCTTTATTATGGAATTAATATTTGTAATGTTGTCTTAATTATCTGCCCGAGCAAAGCTTGTAGATCCAAAAAGAAGACAGTATCTTGCACAAAATGTATAAATAAGCCTGACTTATACGTTTATTTGTGTTCGGTTTTATTTACTACCGTACATTTGCAATTCAAAGAGTGTAAACAGTTACAATATCATTCGATCTGCTTCGAAAAACAACTTACACGTCTATAATAAAACCGAGTAACAAAATTAAAATGTTGGGAGCTTAAACCGGAAATTTTGCACCAACATCGCAAGCCTGTATAATGATCATTTTATATGGGTTTTTTTTATTCATTCAAGAATGTAAAGTAAAATTCAATTTCGTTTTAGCGAGTGCAGGTGAATAACAAAAAAATGTGACGCGTTTCTCACGAATCTTTAAAATCAAAAAATACAAAAATATAAATGCGGTCCCATAAAATATTATTGGTAACGTCAACAAATGGTAGTGATACTCATATAACAAGCTATGTTTTATTGTAAATAAACCATAGGTTTCACTTGGAAGCACCAGGCGGTTCAACGGTAAAATTGTATTTATTTTACAGTTTCTGTGGACGACATATTATTGGTCTAATTATATTGGCATATTTCATAAAATCTGTCAGTAGTCATGATCGACTTAAAAAATTAAGAAAATGGATAATCCACCATCGTTATATAATATCATCATCATGCGTTATCAAATGATCTTTATGACTGCTCCATGATTCTCTGTATTATTATTTTTTTTCATTTCACTATGATCATAGTAGGCCGATACACACATACATTTCGAAACAAACATCAGTAATCATGATAATTCCATATACGAGATGTGAAAAATATATGAAATTGTAATGACATACTGTATGAAAAAGATATTTTCTTTACAGATATCGTACTTTGGAGTAAAAGGTCATTCATTACCAATTATCACTACCAACAACATAATCATCATGTTTATTCTATACCAATTCAACACTATTTTTCTATTCTATAAGCGTAAGTATACAACCTATACATTATGTACGAAAAATGTCACCTTGTTATTCCGTGTATTCAGGCTACATGGAATATATGTTGAATTAGTCATATTCGACGAAGGTGTGGTGAATTGAATGTACTGTGTTGACTTGTTACCATAGAAACACTGCGGGGTCGCGTACTTTAATGGACTCGGAGCAAATTCTCAGAACATAACCAGTTTATTATATGCTAATTGCTATAGTCTTAATGTTTATAATGAATTTTTAGAATTTAGGAATTCTACTCATTTTTTTATGTTATTGGAATCGTAAGCAATGTTTAATTCAACACAAATGCCTTATGCAACCTTCGAATCTAATACTAGACTATGATGATGATGATGATAATGATGGAGATGGTGACTTAATATCATGACCATATTTACTATAAATCAGCATAAGATACAGTATTGATTATGCTGATAGTATATGGGTTATACAGAGGAGAGTACCGTATATTTTCTCCATCAATTACTAGTACGTAAAATATTTACAGCATAATCGTTCATTAATTAACGCAATTTAAATACTGTAGTTGCAAATTGAATAGCATTGTTTATTGCCTATCTTTGGTGTGAAACAGGTCGTGTATAACTAACTAAATGCGCATGCTCAAATTGAAGATCGGTGGTGGGAAGTATTAGGCATTTTTCGTTTTGACTACGCGGCCAGTCTACTACGAACTAATGGACCGTGACGGCAACGCCAAGACTCTGTTCGCGTACTACACCAAGAGCTGTTTTCGTTTTTTAAGGCGACTACGACGACGCAGAACACGTACGTAGGCCTACGGAGGGGAGTTAGTCGACCATGGTTTTATTACCAGAGAACAATGTTCCCTTGTTTTATATTTGTAAAAGGAAATGTGAGAAAAAACTTTAGTCAAATACTGTATACAAAATAAAAAGTTTCCAGAAAACACTGAGTGATGTTTCGCTGTTGGCTAGGATCTAGTGTTATTGGAATCGTAAGCAATGTTTAATTCAACACAAATGCCTTATGCAACCTTCGAATCTAATACTAGACTATGATGATGATGATGATAATGATGGAGATGGTGACTTAATATCATGACCATATTTACTATAAATCAGCATAAGATACAGTATTGATTATGCTGATAGTATATGGGTTATACAGAGGAGAGTACCGTATATTTTCTCCATCAATTACTAGTACGTAAAATATTTACAGCATAATCGTTCATTAATTAACGCAATTTAAATACTGTAGTTGCAAATTGAATAGCATTGTTTATTGCCTATCTTTGGTGTGAAACAGGTCGTGTATAACTAACTAAATGCGCATGCTCAAATTGAAGATCGGTGGTGGGAAGTATTTATATACTAACAACACCCATATTGAATCAATATAGTCTGACTCACTCATTGTCAATGCAGTAGAGGATGCCGGTACATTGGACGGATTGTCCATCACTATTATTAAAATTATTATTGTATGCTTGGTTGTATGTATCCTCATCGTGCAACTATAATAACGGTTTATACTGTATTCATAACTTTTAGCGACATCCCAAAAATAATCTACGACGTATAATGAATTATTATCACTGCTATGTCACCTACTAGAGGTAATGTTTTGATTGGTTAAACACTTTTGGTACTAGTGAATATAAGCTTGCTAATATGGATAATTTTTTCATTCTTGATGATGACATAATTAATTTGGAAATATTGAATCCCAACACGATGGCGTATATGTCAATACTTGGAGTATGTATTATACTTTCTTATAATGAATTACTTATTATTTTTATGATGATTCTGATATGCGATTTTATTTGCATTCAAACTTGAGTGAATCCAAACACCTCTAAAAATAATGTGTAGTTGAGTAGCATCAGTTCGAACAATTGAAGGAATGCACAGTTCTTATACAGGATCTAGGCCTCTATAGTGTATTAACATAATGACTTGGGCTCTATAAAAACGATGATTAGTTTACCATTCTCACCCGCAAAATCGCCCGCATGTCTTTTATGGTAGGACTATTGCAAAATGTTTTTACTAAATTTAGTAAATATTGTTTGTATTACCTCAATCATGTGGCTTTAGCAAAATACAAAATAAAAATCCCACCTCCCTCATCACTTTCCTGCCTAGGGTGATAAACTATTTTTTTAGGGCCTTATATACCGTATTTACTGAACTTAATAGCTTGCAATTACAAATTACAACAATATTTCCTTCAACAGACAACTAAATAAACACATGTCTCCATACTGCTATAAACTGTGTTAAATTAAACCAATTGTAAGTTGTTAAATTTACGGTCCGCTTTGATATGTACGAAAAAGTCATTGACTATGGTATTTTCTATCAATCTATCTTATTAGTTTAATTGATTGACACGAAAATAGGCCTACAAATCGATCACTGTTCACAGTGGTAACGGTGTATTAAAGTCAAGAGCATGAAAGACGGCCGATCAGGAGGAAGTATTTGTTTTAAGACGTAGGCCTAACCAATGGAAATATTATAATTTATATTAAATGGGTCTGTGTTGCTTTGGAGTTGCATTTACGTATAACCTTAAGAGTTACGGTACCATGCTGTTAGTTCCTTCTGTCATTGCGTATTCCTGCATATAATAGCATTATTAGGCCTATATTTTACGTCGTCTTCCAATCGCATTCCATCATTGATAAATTTAGAGCTACTGTACAATATGTAAACGGTAGGCATAGGATACTGCGATAAATCGCCAGTGTTTATAAACAAAAAATATATTCTGGAGTTTGATATCTTATTTCCTTTCAATACAAAAACGGAATAAAATATCAGGATCGAGAACGTATGCAAATTAACGACCTGACAATTCACCCAGTTATAAATACCATGGTATAGTGACGACATTGATATGTAAATACGTTAAATAAGGTATACGCACAATTTGTTTTCAGGGTCATTTTATCAATATATTAATCTAGAGAGGAATCTGCATGCTTGCTTTAGTACAAAATAATCATATAATATCCTGTTTAATGATAGCGATTGCGAATTGAATATTCGTAATTGAATGTTTACAATAGGTTATATAATTATAACAGGAACGATATTGCACGGTTTATTATATAATGTAATTACTATCATTGAATTATTCATCGACAATTTAACAATTTTCCAGTACGAGTTGAAACAGGCTCAGTCCAATTCGAATGAATCCAGCATTTGTTGGCCCGTTTACTTCATTTTTATTCGAATTATACAATTCTGAAGTCCATACGATTTTAAACCAAGATCATGTGACTGTACAGTGTGCACTATACCGTCATACCATGGTCAAACCACTCAACTCCTGAGCTTAGCAAATAAATATAGTGATATATTTTTATTATTGTTTACATAACAGAAGTCACAGTAGGCATATTTTTCAAATATTGATAAATATAACACGCTCGATGGTAAAATCCTGAAATCAAATACAATTTATCATTCAAAAGGATAAAATAAGTAATAAGCTTCTAATATGAGAAAAAAATCGAAATAATTAATTTTTCGGTAATTTACACATTTTCGTATGAAATATTGTCAATTTAAATATCTACCATAAATGCTTGAATAAGCACCGCTCTCGAATAATAAGCGCTGCAATGCACCAAACGTGATTTTTTTTGCAAAGAGCAGCTCTCTAATAAGCGCCGCGGTGAGCTTATTCAAAATTATTCCATTGTGAATGCGCCGGCGTTTGAAAGTGTGTAAAGAATCAGGGTGTTAAATACAATGTATGTGGTTATTAACCACTATTTTTAAATTAAAAAAAAGTTTTTATATTAATAATTTGATTAAAAAGAGAATAGTAATTACCTTCACATACTGGCAAGTTTGTTGTCCAAATTCGATCCTCTCTACATTCTACGTTACCAACTGAAACACCAGAAACTGACTCATAACCTACACTACATACGTAAGTTATTGTATCTCCAACAATGAAAAATCCTGGGTATTGAACCGTTCGGTTAACTTCAGTAATGCTATTATGGTGTATCTCAAAACATTCTCTTATGCATCTGGGCTGTGCATCTTTAGACACGTGACTGAATTCGCCTGAGTACCAACAGTATGAATTAGTAGGTCCCACTTGGTAGAATCCGTCATTGCATGTAAACTGTACAGTTGTTCCAGAAGCATATTTGTCTTGTTTCGGAGTAACGGTACCATTACTGAAGTCAATTGATGTTGAACAGTTCATGAAGTCGTCATCTAAATAAAAGAAAAGTTAAAAGACTATGTTATGATCAATAAATATGTAATGGAAGTCGGTCATTGTTTTTTTTAAATTAATTATTTCATAATGATACCACTGAAAAAATAGATTATTCAAAAGTGTTTTCTTTAGTTACTGATCGAACTATTTTTGACTTTTTTCTGCTATTTTTGTATTGGACTCTGCTGTTTATATAATATAATAAAAATACTGTTTAGAAAAACTTCAAACAAATATATACTTTCTGATCAGTCTTAATGCATTTCTTGTATTTAGCAATGTTCATATGATGATGATGTCAGGACAAATGCCCGAAATAATTTAATATGAAGATGTCATTGTTTTCAAATCTAATTCCTTTGAAAGTTGATCTATCGATTGGTGTTCATGAAATTGTCTTTAAAACCATTAGATCTATTTATCCCTTAATATTTAACACTAATGAAAATTAGTACGACTATTTCACATACTGTAATAACACATTATACAAAAACTGGTGGTTAAAGGTGATATTAGTGGCATTCTACGACAATTTTGATTACCATTTTAAAGTCTAAAGACCTAAAATTGCCTAGGACTACTTACTTTTGTAAATAATTATTCGCAATTCTCCGCCACAAATCTGACTTGAATCGCCTGAGCAAGGTTCAGTACAATTATCGTTATTCGGTGGTTTACCATTCGGCGGATTTAATGGATCAAAGTTATTTCCACAAAAACATTGATTTCCCGCCTCTAATCCTGAGTAGAGAAAGCCTCGTCTGTGGCATAAATCTGTACAAAAGGAAACAGTCATGCTCTGCGTGTTTTCGCAGAATGGATGTACCGATGTACATTCATTGCACATGTCTTCAGCCTCTGGTGAATTACAGGCGTTCAAGCCAGGAAGCGTTCGATCTGCTAAGTAATCATAAAAGCAGCCTAAATCTTGAAAGCCTAAAATAAAATTTAAATTAAAAATAGTAAATATAGTAATTATAGTAGGTAAATATAAAATAATAATAATTAAAAACACAATTTATTTCATTCAAATTGGAGACAGAACCAAGATATAATGAAGCTATATCAGAATATTATAAACAACATGCACAGGTTTAATGTTTATAGGCCGAATAAACCTAAGGCATTGTGCGAAGCATTAATAACCACAATCGTATTAGTTGAGCTAATTAATGTATATGTATATGTATAATATATATATGTATGTGTGTATATATTATATATATATGT